TTTTACTGTCCGCAACACATCTACGGGTCAATCTTAAGCATTCTGCCACAAATACACAAATGCTACAACTGACGAGAAATGCGCGTAGCCGACCCACCTTTGATGTACCTCATTAAAATTATCGTGTGTGGGTCGCTAGCTCAGCTAAGGATACACTCGCCTATAGACAGTGACACCACCTTATATGGAGGGAAGTTATACCTCATGAGCCCCTATTCTATGGCAGTGAGCCATGAGAGGTATAACTGACGCATTGTGGTATGTTATGAGTTGCCTTTGGTACGCTTGTTGATGCACGCCACAATGAATTTTCAACTCTTGCCCTATGAGGTGATCTCTTATTTGGTATCAAACATAAGTCTTAGTAGTTAACGAACTTAGAGGATGCAAAGTGGTTCATTATTGTTTTCAAATATGTGGGTGGACCATCCCACAACTCTTAACGATCATCCATGGCATCGAAAAAAATGGGTAGCTAGATATAGAGGGCACTGGAAAGAAGTTGGGACTACTACGCTTCAAGCTTTCACGAAAGCGTATGCCTGAAAAGCGACATAGCAAAAAAAAAAGATAAAAATGCAATTAAAGGGAAATGAATGATGAAATACTTAACGTCATTGGATCAGTACCTCTGGGCCTCAGCCCTCCTCCGGGCAAGCACGGACTCGAATCGGCGACCTTGGCCGCAAAAACCAAGTATCGTAACCACTACAGCGAGGACACGGTGTTAAAAGCGAAACCATACCGACCGTGATATCCGGCCCGGCAAGACTGTAGTGTCCACCCTCAACGCACACCACACACAACACCACAAGGACACTGACAATCACCGCACACTTCGCTCCAAGTAGGACATGACCCCCCTCGGTAGTATAACCCGCTCACTTATGCGGGATTTTAACTGTCCGCCAGTTCACGGGAGCTTCCCAATGTCATTGGATCGGTACCTCTGGGTCTCAGCCCTCCTCCGTGCAAGCACGGACTCAAACCGGTGACCTCGGCCTCAAGAGCCAAGTATCGTAACCATTACAGCCATGACACGGTGTTAAAAGCAAAACCATACCGGTCGTGATATCCGCCCCACCCTTGCAAGGTTGTAGTGTCCACACTCAACGCACACCACATGGACGCTGGCAATCAGCGCACACTTCGTTACCTTTCCCATATGTCGGTCGTGGGCATCTAGTAGCCTACTCCTGAAAAATAGCCGCCACGCCATCGCCGATATTTTTCATCGATAGCGCGTGGCGGCCGAATTTGAATTTGAGGCCCACGACCCCACATATGAGAAAGGTAGTGGTGGTTTAAGAAAAGAAGATACCATATTGTTATTATTATTTTTACTTTATTGATTTATTAAGTTTGGTTGAAGTGCCCCATTTCAAAAAGGAATTGCGCACAATGCATATATGCTTAAAGAAAAACGAAACAATTTGTGTCTATTTCATTAAAAAGGTACGGGCTCGAAATTGATAAAGTCAATGTTTGTTTCTCACTAGTAAGAATTGATAAAGTCAATGTTTGTTTCTCACAAGTAAGTAAGACCTACCTTTGTAAAGAAGGCAAAGTTAAGGAAAACATAGACAAAACTGTGTAATAAAAATAATAAAATTTGTCTGCACCTATTTCAAAGTGAAGTAAAAATAGTAAAATACAAAATAGTGAAAATACGTCAGGTTACAGTGACAAACTAATTATGTTAGTACTTGAAGCCGTGACTTATTCATCGACAAAAAATAAGTTATTGCACACTGTGAGTTCAAATCAAACCTCATAATTTTTATTTGTTTTTGATCGTTTTGTTTTTCGTGTATGTTCTTATTCTTAATATATATATGGAGACAAAAAAACAATATGTTGTCAATTGCATCAGCTCCCTATGTAAAAGGAACCCGACCACTTGTTCTTTGTGAAAAGAATATATGTCAATAAATAAAAATAAATCTAGGCTACTAGCCGGGCTGCCCGTGTCACCCTATTTTTCTGGGCAGCCCAACCGTCCAAGGACTAGGGAAGGTCCCAGCCAAAAAAAAAAAAAAAAAAAAAAAAACCTCCAAAAAATCCAAAAATAAACTATGTTACGCAAAAAACAAAAACTGAACAACTTTCAAGTTTGCCTTAGGGTCACATCGAAATTTTTTCGCAAATTTAAAATAAAATTTTAAGTTAAAAATATAATATATATTTTTAAAATTTTAATTTCTTTTTGGCCCAGCCGGGCAAGTTGACCCGGGCCACTCTGGTGGCCTCAAAATCAATAGAATAACGAATAACAATAAAACATCATTCGGGGGACCGCTAGCACAAATTTATCGGCCCTACCAGTAGCACAAGTTCGACAACGGTGATATAAAAAAAAGAAAAACCACCAGTTCATTGCGCGAACTATTTCTGGATTCTACGTAGTTTTATTTTTATTTTTTCAAATATTTTTCTTGCATACATAATTACCCATCTACAGACCCTCCAATTTTCAGACTTCCTTTTTTTACGCATTCTTCTGGGCAAGAAAATCATTGAAATTGTACTTTTCCCCCTACGGAAATCACTTCGGCACATATATGGCAACGAGAAGATAAAAAATGCACTGAATCACCGCAACGATTTATTTCGTGATGATATTTTCTTTTCATTTCCATCATGCTATAATATTTCCTGGAAAGATCAGGACTGAATCTACAGGACCTAGAATTTTCCAATTTTATTTTGCATTATTCTACACCCAAAAATTCTCGTTTTCTTGTTTTGATGCCATCAACCTCCACATTCCTCGAGCCTACCGGTTACTTGAGCCACTGAGACTGCTTCGTTGCCATTTACCGTATGAAAGAGTGTAGAAGTCGTGCAGTGTGGCTTACGTGGCTCTATCCTACAAGTTCCTCAGGAAGGGTTCTATCCATCGAAGGAGGGGATCGCTGTGCCATCCTTGTGACACGTGTCATGCAATCGCGCATCAGTAACTAGCAGGGAAAGGAAAGGGAAGGCGGTAAATGGGGGCGTGTCGAGGGGATGGGTGAGTCGGGAGCGGGGGTAGGAAGCTTTCCATTCCCGCAACTGTCACCGGAAGCTCCTGATATCGGACAATCCGATGGAAGCGAGGGAAAGCCTCCTTTCGATTGTCGGGTGAAGCAATTGTTTACATAAATTTAATGCGGACGAGCAAGAATTCAAATTTTCCCCACGGAGGGAGATTCATTGCCGCAGGGCAATTGTACCTCCCACATTACCTCTAGAACAGGGTAAGGTTCAGTGAGGCACAACAATTGCCCAACCCCGTGGAGTTGTCACCATTCCTTGGATGGTGTATATCTGCTTTATTACCAGTGCACCTATAATATAAGTCTATGGGGCATATGGTATACATGGATATAAGTTGAATTGGCTGTCTGAGGTGAATCGATTGAGAGTGCCGTTCATTCAGTGTAGTATAGGCTATATGTCGATAAATCTCGTGGAGCTACCTACCTACTTGTCACGACTTTCACATTCCACACCAAAGGAAAATCCGCTGAGGGCACTGATCATTCTTCGTAGGATAAGGTCTGTGAAACTATTCTCAAGGCTATGATTCGATCTCATAATGCGGCTTGTCTATTGTCCCGTGACCTTTTTCGGAAGTGAGCGCAAGACAAACGACAAGATTATTTTCAGTATAGAAGTTGTTCACCAACCCTTTTGCAGTAGCAGAAAATGAATCCTCATTTCCTGAACCATCAAATGCATGGTGTTTTCCAACTCACACAGATTCGAAGCCTTTAGTGGCGTCTGAACTTTGAAAAAAATGTCGGTATCGATATTACAAACGACATACAAATTTTTCATCTGAACAACTCTACGTGCCTTTTTGTAAGGTAGCACAAAACAACTAAAATTAGCAAAAAAAAAACAAAAGTTGCAACATAGACTTGTTGCCTTTGTGTGCAAGATACAACATAGACTTGTTGCCTTTGAGTGCAAGATACAAAGGAGCTCCCAAAAATTCTCAATAATGCTTATGATCATCATTCTGCCGAATGTCTGCTGCAATTAGACCTGTGATGACTCCTTTTCATCACACAATGTTTGCTGTGATCTTCGAATTCGAAATTTTACTTGTGCTGTTGTTCATTGTATTTGCGTTATAAGAAAAAAATGCACTAATTTCCATGCATCGACCTCTCAATTCTGGCTTTCTTATCCCTCTCCTGCCTCATGCTTTTGCTCCTCTCTCCTCTCTCATTTCACTGGTGACTGTTGCAGGGTTTGCAAATTCTGATTCCTTGAAGTGCTGAAGTATTTCGTTTCCTAAGTTCTAACACTTCCCAAACTGCTGGACAATCGATCCCTAAATCCGCTGCAGTCAAATCGGGTAATGCTCGTTCCTTCTTTTCCCGATATCTATCTACGGGTACGGATGGTTTCACCTATTGCATAAATGCACATTTTCTTGTCACTTCATTGTGGAATCATCACATGCAACATATTACGAAATGGCGTTAACTAAGATTGCTTTATTGGATGCTCACTTTGCTGCCTTACATTCCTTCTTTCTACCATTTAGGGTTCTCTGGACTTTGTTACAAGAAAGTTTGTCCGGCAGTTCCCATGTGCAGGCACACACGCACACACACACACACACAGAGAGAGAGAGAGAGAGAGAGAGAGAGAGAGAGAGAGAGAGAGAGAGAGAGAGAGAGAGAGAGAGAGAGAGAGAGGGAGGGAGGGAGGGAGGGAGAGGGAGAGGGAGAGGGAGAGGGAGAGGGAGAGGGAGGGAGAGGGAGAGGGAGAGGGAGGGAGAGACAGAGAGAGAGAGAGTAGGTGATCAGGGCGACAGGCAGATGGGTGTGTGGGCAGACGGACAGGCAGGGAGGGAGACACAGAGCTGGGCAGGTGGGATGGGGAGCTTGGTCAATGGCAGGGAGGCAGGCAGACAGACAGACACAGATAGAGATCAACAGTTTCGACGACGCGGGAGAGGAAGTGTTCTCACTTGCGGCAGATCAGAGCTTTACAACTCAAGAAAGTGCTCAGGGCATTACTGAGCTCAAGGTCAAAAGATGGGATTCAGATTCCTAGCCTTGAAGAATCGGCGGTGCCATGCTGTTCAAGAATGAGCAAGATATTTGTCCGCTTGAAATACAAAACTATTTCCCCCTCCGTAACAGGTATAAAAATTACTGTACAAAGAGCTAGAAACTGAACAATAAGTGCAGTGGCACAATACCTGTGATTCTCTGAGAAGTGTGGGTGATAGGAGGTAACCCGACCGTAACCGGTTTGCAATCAATGGGGCTGTGTGTGAAGATAGCGTTGATCTGCCCTGCTCTTTCCTGACGGTCAGCACTTGACGGCTTGTCCACTTAAACAAGACACACGAGCTTTCTCTCTTCCATTCATGAATGGCTTCATCGCTCCATTGCTCCCAGACACTACAGTGGGATAGATCTCTAGCATTGCATCCTACCATGGAAGTAAAAAAGTGGCGCAAAGAACAGATGCAAAAAGGCAGACAGAGAAATAACAGGTGAAAAGAAACAGATGCAGAAAAACACAGCAATGCTGTGGTCATTCCCTACATGCCCCTAGACAACTCGGGGAATGGATCGGCACATACAGCCAACGTGCGGTGAGGAACATCAACGCAAGCTGCACCACGCCGAGCTCTGCCTCTCGTTTGGTACATACACTGCCCGAGCGAGTGGAGAAAACGGACTGGATATTACTACGAGAAATGGACAGGACTACCAGCTTGTGAAACTGGCAGAACCAAATGGAGCAGCAAACCATGGCTCAGGCAAGAGGCAGCTGGAGATAATCGACTGATGAAGCCAACCCTGCGAAGCTTCTGTAAATCCCATGGATGAGGGGTTGGCATACCCCTTTAGAGGAGAACAGTTCGTACTCAGATGTCATCGCACAACTACCATGCAGCATGTGAAAGGGTCCAAATTCCCCCATCTGTCAGATGCCATCGCGCAACTCCTATGCAGCATGTGAAAGGGTACAAATTCACTCATATGTTAGATGTCGTCACACAACTCCTATGCATGTGAAAGGGTACAAATTCACCCATCTGTCAGATGTTGTCACACAACTACTATGCAGCATGTGAAACGGTACAAATTCCCCCATCTGTCAGATGCCATCTCACAACTGCTATGCATGTGAAAGGGTACAAATTCACCCATCTGTCAGATGTCGTCACACAACTACTATGCAGCATGTGAAAGGGTACAAATTCACCCATCTGTCAAGCTGGCACTCTCCGCACATCTGTAATAGAGCAGCACTCTTGCCTGCAATCGGTGTTCTCCTGTACTCTCTATTGTTACTTAGCCAAAAAAAAAAAACATTGGTCCTCCTGCTCTGTGCAGTGAATGCAGTGAAGATCTCCACTGTCCCTACGGGAAAAAAAATCATCTCTCACCACTAGCACACCCATGACACCCACAGTGGATGCACTCTATGACTTTCTCTTCCCTCAAATGCTTGGGGACACGGCAGACACATGTAGTCCCAAAGTTATGGTCGCGTGGTTGTATGCAACGTAGGCAGCAAAGATTCTCATAGCCATTCTGCAAAATAAACACACAAGAGCACAAACAGAAGATAAAAGAGTAGATGCAACGTCAGTATGCCCTTCACGTTTTGTTTCTAGCCCGCCCCCCCCCCACACACACACCTCCCTTGCAAAACTGGAATGGAAAAAAAACGGAAGAAAAAGAAATTGCACAACAGCAGAAGCTTTGGAGGGAGGTAATCAGAAAGCTATGCTCATCCGATTGCATGGGGTGAAGGGAACAAGAATGTTCAAAGATTTCCTGAAAAGAACGAGGGCGCAATGCACCAGCTCATATTCAACTCCAATTGCAACCGTGCATCACACTGAATTTCAAACAGATTGCCCAAAAAGATAGCGAGATAGCAATTAGCTGGAAACTGAAATAATTGTCCCCAAAACAACAATATTATCCACGTTCCAGGTTCATAGTACACGCAGCTATGGCCGCCAGCTCATCATCCTCACTCACATAAGTACTCTCTCTCTCTCTCTCTCTCTCTCTCTCTCTCTCTCTCTCTCTCTCTCTCTCTCTCTCTCTCTCTCTCTCTCTCTCTCTCTCT